GTGTGTGTGTGTGTGTGTGTGTGTGTCAGGTGGAGGTGGGGGGGGAAGACGGACTGGGACCTGGGCGTCGCCCGACAGTCCATCAACAGGAAAGGGAAGATCGAGGTAACCCCGAGCAACGGCTACTGGTTCCTCAGCCTGAGGGAGAGGTGAGTGTTAACAGCAGGTGTTCTCCTGACACCTGCAAATGAATCAAAAAGAGGGAGGACATACTGTAAATAGGGTGACAGTGACATTACTGACATTTCTTCTGCTCTTTCCTTGTCAATATAACAGGAACAAGTACACCTTTCGCAGCGAGCCCTCCATTGACGTGCAGCTGAGCCTCTACCCACAGAAGATCGGGATATTTGTGGACTTTGAGAAAGGACAGGTGCATTATGGGAAACACAACTCACAAACCTCTTTAAGGGATAATTAATGCTAAGCTTAAGGGACAGTTAAGGGATAATTAAGGGTAAGGTTAAGGGATAATTAAGGCTAAGGTTAGGGGACAGTTAAGGGATAATTAAGGTTAAGGGATAATTAAGGCTAAGGTTAAGGGACAGTTAAGGGATAATTAAGGGTAAGGTTAAGGGATAATTAAGGTTAAGGGATAATTAAGGCTAAGGTTAAGGGACAGTTAAGGGATAATTAAGGCTAAGGTTAACAGACAGTTAAGGGATGATTAAGGGTAAGGGATAATTAAGGTTAAGGGACAGTTAGGGGATAATTAAGGCTAAGGTTAGGGGGGACAGTTAAGGGATAATTAAGGCTAAGGGACAGTTAAGGGATAATTAAGGCTACGATTAAGGGACAGTTAAGGGATAATTAAGGTTAAGGGACAGTTAAGGGATAATTAAGGGTAAGGTTAAGGGATCATTAAGGCTAAGGTTAAGGGATAATTAAGGCTAAGGTTAACGGACAGTTAAGGGATAATTTAAGGTTAAGGGGAAGTTAAGGGATAATTAAGGTTAGGGGACAGTTAAGGGATAATCACGTCTAAGGTTAAGGGACAGTTAAGGGATAATTAAGGCTAAGGTTAAGGTACAGTTAAGGGATGATTAAGGCTAAGGTTAAGGGACAGTTAAGGGAGAATTAAGGGTAAGGTTAAGGGACAGTTAAATACACATTAAAGTCCGTATTTTATTTTTGCATTTTAAGAAAATATTCACAAAGCATACATAAAACACATCTAGGTACACAGATTAACTTCATAACAGATGACAAATCGAAAAGAAATAATATTACAAATAAAAGAACACTATTAATACTCAGGTATACATTCATTATATTGTTCTATACTTGACCAATTTCCCCACCTTTCCTCAAAGATATGCATTTGATTTCTAATCTAGTTGTTTTCTCCATTACATAGATTTCCTCTACTAAGTTACTCCATTGTGAGTTTATTAAGTTATCTTTTAGCCAATTCCTTGTGATTTGTTTGCTATTCTAATGAGCAGAAAGAGGTAGGAACCAGTGACGTGCGGTGAGGTTCATGGCTGGTGAGGCACTGACTCTTTCAGGGTCAGATTTATAAATATTATATTTTGACCTTAATCGAAATGTTCGGTTATTTTCAAAAGCTTTTTAGTCTGATGCTTCGATTCATTTTAAACAGACTGTTCAACAAAAGGATACCCACAATCTAAATATTGGATTGTTCTTTCTTAGTAAGATCCCATGTTCATTACAATTGTGGTCTTACCTTGACTTGAAGATGAAGTCCATGCTCTCCTTCTGGACAACAATCTCTATTACTTTTTTGTAAAAGTCCTCCTTATCTTCCTCTAGTTTCAAAACAAAAGTCTAGTTTGTTGTTCGCCTCTGCGTAGATTAACAGTAGCAACAAGGACCTGTGGGCTCATGTGCGCCCCCTTCAGTGCGGCAGAGGTTATAGCTGCCTCTCCTGGTGCTTTTTTCATTGCCGTTGTATGATGAGACCAGCGAGCCTAAATATCATATATACGTGAAATAAGTTATTTAGAGACTATGGATGGCGAGGATAAATGTAATAAAGGGATCTACAAAGATTACATTGGTGACATACAGTGAGATGGTGCAGGCATGCGCTTAGGGCCCGCTTTCCAGCCAGTTTCTGTGAGGTGACGCATTCTGAGGTGAGGCAGAGCTCATCTGTGCCTCACCTCACACCACAGTAACTGGCTTGAGCGCGCTCACAAAATAAGTGCCCGCGCTACATTAGTGCCCGCGCTCCAGCCAGTTACTGTGGGCTTACGAGAGGCAGAGCTCGTCCCTGCCTCACTCCTCATCGCTACCCGTAGTTGTAGCGGAGCTCGGCCAATTTGCTGATTTTGACTATAAAAAGCGATTGGAATCAAACAGAAATCACAACACAGATCAGTGAAGACATTTTATTATTATTACTATTTCGTTTTTCTTTAGTTGTTTTTCCGTTACATTGGAGTATGTACATTGGAGTCAGTATCCCCTGACTGCACGTCGCTGGTAGGAATCTCTAAGTCTAAATATTTGTTCGTGTCCTCTTGGCTCTGCAGGTGTCTTTCTACAACGTTGACGCTAAAATCCACATCCACACGTTCCACGACTCGTTCACCGAGTGCGTCTTCCCGTTCTTCAGCCCCTGCACCAACAAATCTGGGAAGAACGACGGGCCGCTCACTATCACACCTGTCACATGACACACACCTGTCACATGACACACACCTACCTGCCCTGGAAGTTGTTTCTTTTTTTTTACACACTTAGTTATCTTGTGAAAATGATTCCAGGTCATGTTTTTCAGATAGAAATCCATGTTTGGCTGCTTCAAACTTTCTCCTGATTGTAAATAGTTCATGGCAATTTGAATATTGTGTGCTGATCATTAAAACAATCACATTCAATTAACGAACACATCTGGTTTTATTCGTGCAGTCACTTTGGTTATTATCTGACCATTGACTTCCACTTACTTGCAGATAAGCAATTTGGAGACCTAACCTTTTTGCTCTGATTACTTACAGTATTATTTGGTATGGATTGTTTGGATATGCAAATGAGGCATTATTTAACGCTTACTTTCGGTGAATTAAGGAGAAATCTAAAGACACAAATACTTAGTTTGTAGAAAATATGAAAATAAATGTGATGTTTTGAGAAGTCTGTAAGGGAAGCAAAATAGCCCAAAACATTCAGAAGACAATTATATTTAGCGTTTTTTGTTTTGCTTTAAAGGGGCCCTACTACGCTATTTGGGGGTTGTCCCTTCCTGTAGTGTGTTTTATAGGTTTTAGTGCATGTAAATGGTCCGCAAAGGCTAATATCCCTGTAGCCAGCTGACCAATCAGAGCAGACTGGGCTCTGGTTTCAGACAGAGGGTGAAAAGAGCTGCTGCAGCAAGAGACACTACATACTGATATACACCTGAACATCAGCAGGAGAGGACTCTTTAAAGTAGAGACACTACACACTGATATATACCTGAACATCAGCAGGAGAGGACTCTTTAAAGTAGAGACACTACATACTGATATACACCTGAACATCAGCAGGAGAGGACTCTTTAAAGTAGAGACTCTACATACTGATATACACCTGAACATCAGCAGGAGAGGACTCTTTAAAGTAGAGACACTACATACTGATATACACCTGAACATCAGCAGGAGAGGACTCTTTAAAGTAGAGACTCTACATACTGATATACACCTGAACATCAGCAGGAGAGGACTCTTTAAAGTAGAGACACTACAAACTGATATACACCTGAACATCAGCAGGAGAGGACTCTTTAAAGTAGAGACACTACATGCTGATATACACCTGAACATCAGCAGGAGAGGACTCTTTAAAGTAGAGACACTACATACTGATATACACCTGAACATCAGCAGGAGAGGACTCTTTAAAGTAGAGACACTACATACTGATATACACCTGAACATCAGCAGGAGAGGACTCTTTAAAAGTAGAGACACTACATAGCTGATATACACCTGAACATCAGCAGGAGAGGACTCTTTAAAGTAGAGACACTACTGATATACACCTGAACATCAGCAGGAGAGGACTCTTTAAAGTAGAGACTCTACATACTGATATACACCTGAACATCAGCAGGAGAGGACTCTTTAAAGTAGAGACACTACATACTGATATACACCTGAACATCAGCAGGAGAGGACTCTTTAAAGTAGAGACACTACATACTGATATACACCTGAACATCAGAAGGAGAGGACTCTTTAAAGTAGAGACTCTACATACTGATATACACCTGAACATCAGCAGGAGAGGACTCTTAAAGTAGAGACACTACATACTGATATACACCTGAACATCAGCAGGAGAGGACTCTTTAAAGTAGAGACACTACATACTGATATACACCTGAACATCAGTAGGAGAGGACTCTTTAAAGTAGAGACACTACATACTGATATACACCTGAACATCAGCAGGAGAGGACTCTTTAAAGTAGAGACACTACATACTGATATACACCTGAACATCAGCAGGAGAGGACTCTTTAAAGTAGACACTACATACTGATATACACCTGAACATCAGCAGGAGAGGACTCTTTAAAGTAGAGACACTACATACTGATATACACCTGAACATCAGCAGGAGAGGACTCTTTAAAGTAGAGACACTACATACTGATATACACCTGAACATCAGCAGGAGAGGACTCTTTAAAATAGAGACACTACATACTGATATACACCTGAACATCAGTAGGAGAGGACTCTTTAAAGTAGAGACACTACAATACTGATATTACACCTGAACATCAGCAGGAGAGGACTCTTTAAAGTAGAGACACTACATACTGATATACACCTGAACATCAGCAGGAGAGGACTCTTTAAAGTAGAGACACTACATACTGATATACACCTGAACATCAGCAGGAGAGGACTCTTTAAAGTAGATACACTACATACTGATATACACCTGAACATCAGCAGGATTGAGCCCTTTTAAAGTCAAGTTTTTTGTGTGTGGTGCTGCTGAGTTGTGTTGGCATAATAAAAACACAAGACAACAACTTTCAAATATCTTAAACTTCATTGAAAATCACAAACAAATCGATACCATAAGACACAATGATTCAATTTAAACAGTGGCACAATCCCATGAATGAGCCGAAGGACAAACATAAATCATAGATCAGTGGATAAAGCACACAGGTTGCAAAATATGAAACTACTCCAATGCAGTAAAAACATCTATACTTCATGTATATCCAAGCACTCAAACTCAACATTAGCTCAATGCTACATCCATGTAGTAGTTTGAGTTATGGGATACTTCATATACTGTTATATTATTTTATATCATCTTCGCATTACTTATATTCCTTCTTTTCGAAAAGCGCATCGTTTTCACTTCTATCTCTCTGTGATGTTTAGAAGTTGATGCGGTCGATGCGGTGCTGCTCTCTGTGAGACTTTGCCTTCTCTTTCTGCAGCAGGATGTGTTCGGCGAACTCCCGCAGAGCGCCCGTCCCCCCCATTTTGCGGCAGGTGTACTTTGAGGCGTTTATGGCGACATTTGGAGCGTCTCCAGGAACCGCACTCATCCCCGCGAGATTCAGACAGCTGACGTCCTGCTGGTCGCTTCCTGAGAGGGGGAAAGATAAATCAGAGAGACATTAAAACTCATGTTCTTGTATGGAGAGAACAGAGGTGGGAAGTAGTGGAGTACATAAGTACATTTTTCTGATATCAGTACTTTACTCCACTACTTATTTTTCTGACGACTTTTTAATTTGACTTCTTATATGTTGAACCCAAATACCTGTACTTTCTACTTCTCACATGTTGAACTCAAATACCTGTATTTTCTACTTCTTACATGTTGAACTCAAATACCTGTACTTTCTACTTCTTACATGTTGAACTCAAATACCTGTACTTTCTACTTCTTACATGTTGAACCTAAATACCTGTACTTTCTACTTCTCACATGTTGAACACAAATACCTGTACTTTCTACTTCTTACATGTTGAACCCAAATACCTGTACTTTCTACTTCTAACATGTTGAACTCAAATACCTGTACTTTCTACTTCTTACATGTTGAACTCAAATACCTGTACTTTCTACTTCTCACATGTTGAACTCAAATACCTGTACTTTCTACTTCTTACATGTTGAAACCCAAATACCTGTACTTTCTACTTCTTACATGTTGAACTCAAATACCTGTACTTTCTACTTCTCACATGTTGAACTCAAATACCTGTATTTTCTACTTCTTACATGTTGAACTCAAATACCTGTACTTTCTACTTCTCACATGTTGAACCCAAATACCTGTACTTTCTACTTCTTACATGTTAAACTCAAATATCTGTACTTTCTACTTCTTACATGTTGAACCCAAATACCTGTACTTTCTACTTCTCACATGTTGAACCCAAATACCTGTACTTTCTACTTCTTACATGTTGAACTCAAATACCTGTATTTTCTACTTCTTACATGTTGAACACAAATACCTGTACTTTCTACTTCTTACATGTTGAACTCAAATACCTGTACTTTCTACTTCTTACATGTTGAAACACAATACCTGTACTTTCTATCCTTCTTACATGTTGAACTCAAATACCTGTACTTTCTACTTCTTACATGTTGAACTCAAATACCTGTACTTCTACTTCTTACATGTTGAACACAAATACCTGTACTTTCTACTTCTTACATGTTGAACACAAATACCTGTACTTTCTACTTCTTACATGTTGAACTCAAATACCTGTACTTTCCTACTTCTTACATGTTGAACTCAAATACCTGTACTTTCTACTTCTTACATGTTTGAACTCAAATACCTGTATTTTCTACTTCTTACATGTTAAACTCAAATACCTGTACTTTCTACTTCTTACATGTTGAACTCAAATACCTGTACTTTCTACTTCTTACATGTTGAACCCAAATACCTGTACTTTCTACTTCTTACATGTTGAACTCAAATACCTGTACTTTCTACTTCTTACATGTTGAACTCAAATACCTGTACTTTCTACTTCTTACATGTTGAACACAAATACCTGTACTTTCTACTTCTCACATGTTGAACTCAAATACCTGTACTTTCTACTTCTTACATGTTGAACACAAATACCTGTACTTTCTACTTCTCACATGTTGAACCAAATACCTGTACTTTCTACTTCTTACATGTTGAACACAAATACCTGTACTTTCTACTTCTTACATGTTGAACTCAAATACCTGTAAAGGAAGGGGGGGTTGTATTCAGAGATTAAAGTTGTAAATGAATGAGGAATACACTTGGATATCCTCTGAGAATAAAGACACATTTACAAGATAAATAAAATACATTTCTGAGTAAAAAAACCTAAAAATATTTGGAAACATTTAGATGTTGTTGTTGTTATGGATCTGCATTGCTTTATTTACAAGGTTGGATCAACCTGTAGTGAAATACCTTATCAAATGATACTTTGCAATGACAATATACTATGCTATAAGTACTATATTTGGGTGCATTAATTGCATTTTTATGAAACTTTTTCACACTGTGTTAATTAATGAACTGTAAAGGTTTTGATTTTAGCCATTGAGCCCAGCACTCTTTATGTATACATCCCAGGGTCTGCAACAAACTACTCATTTGATAACCGATTAATCTATCGCTTAACGAAACGATTAATCGGATCGTTAAGGTTTTAACTGTACTACTAATTTTATCGATACTGCTCATCGGTCCTTTAACGATAGTCTTAACGATTCTTTTGAATATAAATAAGGTAAACTAACTAAACGAATTGTGAACAAAATTAACATTGCTTTTTATTTAAATTAAATAAATAATATTTCACATCGAAATAAACAACAGTGTTTTAATAAGTTGTATTAAATAATGTGATGACAGAACTGTGAACAGAATAGCTGAAACTTTAACAAAATAAATAACTTCCGTTACCTCTAATTCGTTAACCCCGTGTTTGTATCATGGAGTTAACTCCGTGTGTCGCCAACTCCGTTTCTAATAGGCAATAATTCATTGAAACGTTGCTCGTGGACGGGGCTCCAGAGCTGCTAGAAAGACAGTGGAACCCGGTGCATTCCTCCGTCTGGATGTGGAGCACTTTTGATAAATGTTTAGACAAATTGCTCGTGTTGCCGCCCTTACATGCTAACCTCTTATTGCGCTTTTGGTAACGAGCATTGTCCACATCGAGACGGGTAAAGTTTAACCACCTCGGAGCGCGTTCTCTCCGCCATCTCCTCCGTGTGTGTGCTGCTGCATGGAGCAGCTGCGTGTGTGTAAACCGCCCCGCCCCCTCGCACACAGGAGAGAGAGATCTCTCGTCTGGATTGGAAAGATCAAAAATACATCATAGACGCATTTTGTAGTCTTATTGCGTTTTCGAAACGGAGTTGGCGACACTGAGACTGCGATATAATGTTTATGTAGCAATAATACATGACATATATGTCTTAAATGTCTCCAGTACCGATAAAAAGATCGATAACGTTGGAGCTTAAGGAGAGACACCCCAGGTGAATAGGGTAATTTTTTTAACTTAAAGGTATCAGCTAGAAATTTCTCCAGTTAATTACTTACAATAAGGCAATTGTCTTTTGTATTACAAGTTTTCTGAAATAGCATGTTTAAATATGCAAATTATCCATTATCTCATTAAATATGCACATATTTTAACACATTTCAGGAATCGAAATCTGAACTTTGGATATAGCCAGATTCAAAATTCTTGTTTCATTTTGTAGTCATATTAGTATCTAAGGCTTTTACATTAGGGATTTTGGATATCTCTTTTTATCACTCCATAAATCAGAAAATACTGTCAACAGCCCTAAAATATCCATTTTCGCCATGTTTTTAGGTATACAATGTTGTGTAATTCAGGCTATGAATTATATATGAACAAACCCTTCTGTAAAAGCCTTCATAATATTGATAGGAATATAACTGGAAGGTTTGGTGTACGTACGTGCTACTGAAGTTGAAATTTCGAACTCAGAGTAGGAGAAAAAACTCATTTTGAGAAAACGACCTTTAAAGATTGCAGTGAGGCGCTAGCTAAACCCTCCTGTTCTTTGGATGACAGCTTGCGCATCGACGCACTCCGTGAAGGTATTTCATGTTCAGGGTCATTTTTTTTTTTTTTATAACCTTGCTTCGTACAAGTGACAATTGTTGTCGTCTTCTCTGTGAACGTTTTTTTCGCCATTCTTTTGGCATTTTGAGATTTCAATTTCTAGCTGAAAGCTAACCAGGAAGTGTGTTAGCACACCACGTGACGCATCTGAACGAATCACGTTGTCATAAATTGACACCAGCCAATGAGATTTTGTTTCTTGGTTTAAGACCCCTTTGTGCTTTCACGATTGGTTGCTGATACAAAGGAAATGACCATATTTGGATCCGATGAGATTGTGCAGGAGAGACGGAGCTTTCCAACGATACCTCTGTTGACATGGTGCACACAGCGGTCGCGCGGTACTTTATGTTACGTTAGAATGCTAACTTTTGGTGAATTTAGGAGAAATCTACAGACGCAAATAGACAAACTATAGTAAAATAAACACTTAAATGTGTATTTTGTACGTTTTCCTTCCAAAAGCCTGAAAGAAAACATGTTATGGAATCAAAATAGCACAAAATCTCAAATTGACCAGTACTTGAAAACGATGTTTTTGCCTGCCGTGTCTGCCTTACTCGACGACCGAATTAGTTGGCAACTAATTTGGTCATCGATTTGAATCGATTAAGTTGATTAGTTGTTGCACCCCTAATCCCAATATGTCAATGTCCTTAGACCCCTCGCAGTAACAAAGTACAATAGATGTTGTGTGTATAGCTACAATTGCAACATTTCGAATAAACTAAAAGCTCTATATGTAAAGAGGTGTCCTTCTTTACCCATATACGCCACGTCCTTCCATTCCAGCTTCTTCTCCTCCACCATCTTCCTCAGCAAGTCGAGGGGCTCGTCTCCGACCTGCACCACCTGGCAGCCCGTCCTCTCCGTCAGACGATCCGTCAGCAGCTTGGCCACCGGGTCCATGTCGGAGGTGAGGAGGATCACCTGGTGGAGAAGAAGAGAGGTCAGTGAGTGGTCACATTTTAAGATTCAAGGCTTTTATTGTCATTTGTACATAGCTTTATTTTGGGAAAATACTGAATGTCCTCTTCCAATATGAGAGTCACATGATAACAAAGGTATCCCAACTGTAGCTGTGTGCATGACAGGATGTATGATTACCTAGAAGAGCATCAGGACTGTTTGAGGCATATGATAGCTATGTGATTAACATGATGATTCAGCCTCTATGGAGAGAGACATCAAGCATGCTCATTTCTGACGTGGAGCTAATCTGAAGTAAACATTGAATACTGCTTTCTATTCCTCCATCTTGTGACTGTGTAACTCCCTCTCTTGGATATCAGCATGTGAAGGACACTGTTCAGGAACTAGTTGATGCTCTGTATGTGATGACTACTTCCATTCTGGAGAGGATCACAGATACATGGATCCTGAAGCTCAAGCCGGAGACGAGTGGTTAACATTTTTAAGTATTCAGAAAAAGTCAGAATTTGGAGAAAAGGTCAGCATTTTTTAGATAAAGTCAGAATGTAGAGATTTTGAGAAAAAGTGAACATTTTGAGAAAAAGTCAACATTTTGAGATTTTAAGAAAAAGTCAGAATTAAAAAAAAAAAAAAAAAAATCAGAATTTTGTGATTGAGTAAAAAGTCAGAATTTTTAAATTTTGAGAAAAACTCAGTATTTTGTTCATGACAGGATGTATGATTACCTACAAGAACCGGTATTCCTCCATCTTGTGACTGTGTAACTCCCTCTCTTGGATATCAGCATGTGAAGGACACTGTTCAGGAACTACTTGATGCTCTGTATGTGATGACTCCTTCCATTCTGGAGAGGATCACAGATACATGGATCCTGAGGTTGAAGCTCAAGCCGGGGACGAGTGATTAACATTTTTAAGTATTTAGAAAAAGTCAGAATTTTGAGAAAAAGTCAGAATTTTGAGAAAGTCAACATTTTGAGAAAATGTCGACATTTTGAGAAAAGGTCGACATTTTGAGAAAAAGTCAGAATTTTGAGAAAAAGTCAAGATTTGGAGAAAAGGTCAGCATTGTTTAGATAAAGTCAGAATGTAGAGATTGAGAAAAAGTCAACATTTTGAGATTTTAAGAAAACGTCAGAATTAAAAAAAAAAAAAAATAATCAGAATTTTGTGATTGAGTAAAAGTCAGAATTTTGACATTTTGAGAAAAACTCAGTATTTTGTTCATGACAGGATGTATGATTACCTACAAGAACCGGTATTCCTCCATCTTGTGACGGTGTAACTCCCTCTCTTGGATATCAGCATGTGAAGGACACTGTTCAGGAACTAGTTGATGCTCTGTATTACCTCATTCACACCAACGCAACTCCGGTTCAAGCTCCGTGCTAGAGCTTTTCAGGTTCAGAACCGGTTCTTCGGTTTAGCTCCGGCTCTTTTCACACCGCCCAGAGTCTGACTGGTGCTGCGTCATTGTGTCATCGTTTGCGTCATGACGTAACTGTTTACGTGCCTGCTTCATAAAGCCAAACCGCGCGGAAACCCCTCACAGCTCACACCGACAACAACAACAATGGCCGATTGTGCTCCAGCTTCCTCTGTACCTCTTCGGAAGACCAGATTCCCAGTAAGTAGTGGGACCACTGCTGCTTGTTAAGTTTCTCCATCGTTGTGTACAAACTGGATACAACGCCAGCTTTTTGTTGTTGTTCAGGAGTTGATCCCGCCCCTGCCCCCGCCTCGACGTAAGCGTGATGTATGCGGTGCTTTTGCTCTGGCCGGACAATTTTTTGGTGCTTGAAACAAACCGGATTCCGGAGCTAAGAGGCTGCTCCGCTGCGGTGTGAACAGGAAAACCCGGTGCTTTTCAAGCTCCAGCTCCGAACCGGCCCTGAAACACCGTTGGTGTGAATGAGGTATATGTGATGACTACTTCCATTCTGGAGAGGATCGCAAATACATGGATCCTGATATTGAAGCTCAAGCCGGTGATGAGTGAGATTTTTCCTAACACTACGGTAACACGGAACAACTCTCCCAAAGTAACGGAGAGTAGTAACAATAGATGTCGTGTGTAGAGACTTAAAAAGATAATACATTTGCCACATTTCGAATAAATAAAAAGTCTTAATTCCTGTGGAGAAGAGAGGTCAGTGTGTCAGAA